AATGATGATTTTACTACATTTGCCTGGCATGATCATTACAATGGAAAGATGTACGAAGGTCAAGGTTCAATTATGTGTCCGTTAAAAAAAAGAGTCTTTGTCTCTATCTGGTGGATCAGGAAAGTACTTTGAAAGTTTCAATGGGGAAAAAACAAGAATTTCAATGGTAAAACAACAATAACAACAACAAAACGCAATGAATGTATCTATTGGAATTTAGATATGGCAATCCTTCTTTGTCAACTGATTACAAAAGTGTGTTTGAGATCTCTCAGTCCAAAAAAGGTAAGAAAGTGACTAGAGACAATTTTAGTCTTAAAGGAACAGGCACATGGGTAATTGGATTTTGGTTGGGTTAGGATTTTGGAAAGGGGAGTGGGTTAAGGTTATGGTTTAAGTTAATGACAATAAAAAAGTAGCAACTGAAGACATCTTAAAGGGTAAGTTCACCCAAAAATGAAAATTAGGCTGTGTTTTACTCACCCCCGATGCATCCTAGGTGTATATGACTTTCTTCTTTCAGATGAATCCAGTCTGAGTTATATAAAAAATTGTCTTTGATCTTTCAAGCTCTATCGTTGTACTCAGCGGGGGCTGCATTCCTTCTGTCCAAAAGACGTGAAATAAAAAGCACCCTTCCACAAAAAAAATTGTCTCACACGGCTCCGGGGGGTGAACAAAGGCCTCCTGTAGCGAATCGATGCGTTTTTGTAAGAAAAATATCCATATTAAAAACGTAATAATCACTTGAATCTAGCTTGCGCCAACAGTTGTACACAGAAGCAGTTCTGGGAGCATGACGTATGAGGTCGGCGTTGCGCATGCGCCGGAGCGTCTCGTGAAAAACAAAGTTTGTTTACAGGATCAAAAGAAGCAAAGTTTCATTACTTTAGCAAAGAAATACCAGTCTCCTCTTGGCTTATATCGAAATCCTCCGACATTCTTCTTTACAAATCCTCATTTTGTACTTCTAATTAGTGACCGTTGTATTGTTTCGATCTCTCCGCGTGCATCACTTCTGAGCAACGCATGCGCAAAGCTGACCTCATACTCTGTTTACAACAGTAAGCGCAAGCTAGATTCAAGTGATTATTACGTTTTGAATATGGATATTTTTCTTACAAAAACGTATCAATTCGCTACAGGAGGCCTTTGTTCACCCCCCGGAGCCGTGTGAGACAATTTTTTTTGTGGAAGGGTGCTTTTTATTTCACGTCTTTTGGACAGAAGGAATGCAGCCCCCGCTGAGTGCAACGATAGAGCTTGAAAGATCAAAGACAATTTTTTATATAACTCAGACTGGATTCATCTGAAAGAAGAAAGTCATATACACCTAGGATGCATCGGG